GCTTTCTGAATGAGATGATCATTTATCATGGGGAATATGTCTAATGTCCCCTAATATCTAATGGGGAATGTCTAATGGGCTAATAAGCCTCCTAATGATGTTTTGAAGAATTTCTCGAAGACACTTAGCTCTTTGCAGTCGTATGGTTACTCTCAGTCACCAAAGCTTTTTTACCATTCTAGTCGTATATCGTTTTCAGCCACCACAGCAAAGAACCATACTGATCTTACATTATATTAAGTCTACAAGCTTCATAATTTTGCACAGTATGTATTATTGAAAATTAATTCCGATCAGCACGATACCTATGTACAAACTGATATGACCGCAAAGGGTTAGTGGTGTATTAGTTAGTCGTAACTGTCTACTGTCTCTCCATGTTAATGATTTTGGATTTTCCAAGGAAAACTACATACATTACTTTTATCACTGCTTATTGTTTCTTCACCATTGTTGGTTAGGGATCATTTTCAAAGACATGTATCTAAATTTCTTGATGTGACGGAACGTCAAAAACGGTATGTACCTTTTGTCACCAATTATTATTTTAGAAATAATGAAGCATCCACCACTATTAAGTAGTTTTAGGGCTTCTTTACTGATCCTGATGTATTCCATTTTTGGTGAGCTCTGTTAATTTATGTTAAACCCAACAATAAACTGTATATATTTTTTTTTCATATGAAATTCCTCATCAATACTTTTATATATAGCTGAGAATCCAATGTTAAATTCCTTGTGCACTATTTGATAGTTAAAGCGAATTGTCATTAATATTTTTCATGTGACCGATACATTTCTGATATAGCTGACAAAATATTTCGTGTATGTTTTTCAGCCAGGAGAGAATTTCGACTTCTGCGAAATTCTACAAACCATCTTAATACATTAGCACGAGATAAAGCTTAATTTTTCTTGATTTAGCCTCACTTTAAAATCACAGAAAATCACAATGCAATAATCCTTTTGCATCAACATAATTTTTTTTCAAAATTTATTCTACAATAGATAAATTTCAATTATTACCGAAATGTTTTTATCTGGGAACATAAAAGAGTCCAAATATACATAATTAAAAAATAATTGTTTTTAGCGCATGTTATCTGCCTCTGTTTCAACATTTTCAGAATTACCGGAGTATAACCACTGCTACCACACTGGACGACAGCATTTACAGACGGCAAAAGTTTGGAAGCAGAGCGGCAGCATAAATTCTACTAGACGATTTTAAAACTTTGAACCGACACTGCACGTGTGCCCATCTCCGTTTGATGCTATTACTGATAACGTTTTGATAAATTTCAGTCCATTCCGATCGGTTATCAATAGATTTTGCTATCTATTCGTCATCATCACTGATTGCCTTTCTTTTTCAGCTCTTATTAAATCTCATAAAACTTTTAATCTTCGTAAACTACAGTAATTAAGGATATTATTACACACGACAAAACACAGCAAGTTACGTACTAACGCAGTGATAAAATGCAACAAAAATTACTATCATTTATCAAAACATTTAAAAGAAAATAGTTCCATTTAATTTCCAGAATCAAATGAGCAGTGGGATCGGGACGGAATAGGGAAGATGGAGCGAACAGAGAAAAGAATAGAACGAGGAAAAATCGATTCAATCAAACGTTAACCTCTTGGACTGATTTCTTTCAACTGTAGTTTTGAGACCCCTCCGTGAGTCTGCTATCCGTGAGTTGCTGTCCTGCTTACCCCACTAATCGGATCCGACCCTTTCCGAGCTGGTCATTGCTATTTGCTTGAAGTGAATAATATGAAAGAATAGCTGCCTTTACAGGATTAGAACTACTGTTTCTACGGTGGTCCGTGAAGTCTCGACAGGGACTGTAAGCGTACTATCAAGTCTCTCTCGGGTAATGTGATCGCTATATCACCATTTAGATAAAATCCGGGATAAGAGCAATACTCATGTATGGGTTGTTCTTCGTCTGAACCCCTTCTCTGGCGTGATGTAGTTTTGAGATTCCCTAAAATCCTTCTATATACAACAACGAATCCTTTGTTGTTGTTTGTTTCCTTTTGTTGGATCTTTTCCTACTTCACATTATTTCTTCCGCATTTAAAAATGTATTTTGTAATTAAACAATTCTTCTAGCTTTTTAATATCGAGATTCTTTAGAATTTCTAAAACGGAAACTTGCGAATATTTAGCCATTCGGAAAATTACCAATCAAAAAACAGCAAAATGTTCTGAGAAATACATTCATTACAGGTAAGAGTAAACAGAGCTCGAGCCTCCAAACCTAGGTACGATAGGATATCCTTTTGGGAGTCCCATGCAGCCCCTTTTCCAGCTATGTAAAGGAAACTATGTGATGATTTTGGGACACCCTAAAAGAAGAAGCTCAAAACTTTAAAAGGCTTAAGGAATAATCAGGCTTCGACAGTGAACAGTTTTCACATTTTTCAAATAATTCTTTAATTCTTTTACAGAGCATTCTGTATTTTGTATTTTGAATCCGAGGAAACGGTTTTGTAATTTTCAATAGTTAATAATAATTACTAGTAATTGATTTTAATATTTAAGTCTCTTCCTATAATATACATTTCTTCCGTTTTCTTCCTATAATATCAACATTTTTTAATAATGCACGAGTTTACTTAATCAGTTATGCAATTATGACAAGACTAATCTACCTAATTGAAGGGATGCCTCCGTTAAGATCTTTCTGGAGAAAACTTGCTGATATTCATGTTATACATGGGAAAAACGACGAGTTTAATGTAGCAGTTTCTTTTCTATACATTAATACAGAACTCTTTCATACTCGTATATTCTTATGCAATCACGCTTCCTTCAGGTTTTCCTCTCAAGTTTATTGGCTTACTCAAGATCAACTAAGCCAGCCTCTGCAATCAAACAATTTGTAAATCATTGACATACAGAATGAAAGTTTATTCCATAAGAATAGGCGCAAATGTTTGCAAGTGGAGCCAATAACATTATGGCAGCTTCTGAAATCAATAAGCTGTCTTCCTGAAAGTATGATTACATTACGCTGCAATTTCTCTAATTCTATGCTCATTGCTTCATGGTACATTACCACAGCTGTGAACATGGAAGATCAAAAAGTGAGATTTCTAATGTATTTGATCTCTTCGAATAGTGTTGATCTACTCAGGCTTCTCCTGACGTAATTAAAATAGTCTGATTACGATATCAAAACCCTTCAACCGTAAAGTCTGCCTTCACTATTTCTTCCAATAACGTAAGGCGCATGTACTCATAATGAAATATTCACAGTTGCATGTATGCAGACAAGTTAAGCTAGATATCTAATGCTGTAACAATGAAATACAATGAACCCTCTTTAAGACGACCGTCCTATTTCCGAGTTTTTGATGTTCTTCTGAAGTCGTCGTCATAGAGAAGATGAAGATAGGTGATGACTGTGTAGAGTTGCGCGCCTCCAACCTGCACGCAACCAAGATGTGACAGTTGAAACTGGAAAATAGACAGAGTCTTGCTAAGGGTTTAAGTCCCTTTTTATTCAACTTAAGAAATTACAATTGCGTGCTCTTGACGCTCACAAACTACGCATCCGGCGGTAAAATAAAAATAAGAAACTAAAAATGAATAATAACAAGTGACTACCTACGAGGCTCTCTAAATGTAACTAACCTCACCGCGTTTTACAATACCGCTGCTAATTCAGCAAACTTTGAATATCACGTTGAACGATTAACAATTCTCCGAGGCAAGCACACATGCCGAAACGCGGGGTTCTTCAATTTCTGGCTAACTACCTCCGCGCTCGTGAAGTAAGAACAGCACACCTCGAACTCGTTTCCATTCTATTTAACTCAGAATACTTCCGCTGATAATTTGAATCCTTGCGCGTTCTACTAAAATTTACATACTCTGGCATTGGCAGTTCCAGGGGAAAGTAAGGCTTGACAGGAAAGATAGTTTAAACTTAAAATAAATGTTAGTTAAAATAAATATAAACCCTACAACTGTTATCGATTTTCTTAATATAGTTATCTTATTTAAGATCTTAGATGGGTGCTGAAACGAAATTCTTCAGTAGAAGTGCAGTTATCTTTTTATTAATCAGCTATTAAATCATTGATCGCTTATTAAATATTAATTCATATTTTATTAAAATATTCATCAAGAGAAGTCTGCCTAGTTGATTTTCTCGTCGGATTACTCACTGAAATTTCTGAAATAATTTTATCAAGTAAATTAATCGACTTATTATTTTCAACCATTTATTGCCCTTTTTCCGCCATTTTTGTACGCCAGCAACACTTTAAATAACTTCTAATCTTGGTTTTAAATTTAATGCTATTTTTTTCGTTTGTTTGATTTCTTTTTGAGGACATTTCAGTTTAAATTTAATCATTTAATATTAAGAAATTTAAAGTAAAACAGCGTACGCTTTTATATAAATTCAATCTAATGATTGGAACAAATATCAAAATAGAAATAAAAAAACTCTCTTAGAAACCATTCAAACACTGATGTGAACAGAAAATTAAAAAAACTAGGAATGCGACAAACCATCTAAAGATAATTGTAATACCTGATCGAGCATTCATGATAAATTATTCCATGCGAAACTAATGATTAACAACACTTTAGCATAAAAGCAGGTTTGCTTATGTAAAAGTGGAAATATGATTCTTTGATTTAATTTTTGCGTAAAATACATCAGTTTCATAGTAAAAACTAAAACTGTCAGCAGTCACCTTAATACATATTTGATTTCGTTTAGATTATGGATACTAGTCTTGGAGAATTTTATAAATGTTCTGAGAACTACTGGTCACTTTCAGAGACGGTCATCTACGAGAAGGGGTTATTGAAAAAGGATTCATTGTACATCATTAACTTAAGGAACTTAATTTAGTGCAAGTCGTGAAAAGTTAGGAAAATTAATAATGCTTTCTAATGCTCCAAGTTTTAACAAAATTTATTGAAATGTATCATTGTTTTAGAATAACAGTTCTTTTCCTGCTCGCAGGTGCAGATAACAACACTGTGCGTCTCTACGTCCCTGAGTGCATACGTAGCCCTGTTCTGTCTCTTCTCACCTAAAGTATATATTATCATCTTCCACCCGGACAAAAACGTGCGAAAGCTTACCATGAACAGCGCCACCTACAAAAGGGCACCAACTAGCAGTACATGTGGCACTTCCGTTAATCAAGGCAATGGCAAAGGTAAAAATCCCTTAAATGTGTGTGCATGCTTTTTAACTGTTTATTGAATAAAATACAATTTTAAAAAAGTTTTTAAGCAGTTAAACATTTATTTATAATGGATATGACAATTAATGCATTAAAAAGAGAACAAATAATTTGTCTAATAGTTTAATGGGAAAAATAGATTAGATAATTCACTTTACAAAATTCACCTGCAATTTTATATCATGAATAATAAAAGCGTGGAGCGCCTAATTAACGAAATCTATTAATTTAATTTCACTGTCAAATATATAAGTCTTTTTTATTTTCTATTAATATAATTATATTGTCAAATGTATAAGCCATTATCTTTTTTTTAATTTATCCTGTGTGCCTCCTGCTTTTATTATTCGCAATACAAAATTGTAAACATATTCTGTAATAGAGTCATTTAATCTATTATTGCCATTAAAATATATGACAATTTTTTTTTCTCCTTTTAGTGCATTAATTATAATATTCATTTTAAATAAAAGCTTACCATATAAAAACCTTTTTTTAACTGTATTTCGTTTCCTGTTGTTTATTCTTAATTATACATTATCAATATGATATTTTTTAAAAAAATCTTATAAGAAACAAATATCGCCAAGACGACAAACTTTATCATTAAGTTAAACTTTATCATAAGTTTAAACTTTATCATCAAGATGGCAAAATGAAAAGCATTTCACCACGAGAAACGCTGTTTTCCACTGTGTACTTTAGACTGCGACAATTTTTTTTAAATATAGAAAATAGCTCAATTAATATTTCTTTACCATTTTTGTTTCGAAACAGAGCGAAAGGTTTGTTTTATACTCTGTGAAAATTTCAAAACTTTGTATACGATGTATTATTAGATATTGAAATTTGAATCATAAGCGTCAAGTAGTCTAAAAATTCGAGAAACTTTCAAAAATCAGAAATTAAATTACAGTTGTCATACAATTTTCATTGAAAAGATTTTTCTATGGTGTACTCGATGATGCAAACATTGATACAATTAGTTTCCTAGTTAAAAGAATATCACTAAACATTGAATAAAAAATTCTAAACAAAATGTTTAAAACATCACTTCACCACTCTGCATTGAAATCGATCGACCAACAGCATATGTGCAAAATTTTGAACCTCGATAGTATCGGGAAGTAGATTAAAAATTGATAACATAATTACAATTACGCTGAAACACTATGAGGAATTAAATGAAGGCTTCTAAAAAAAGGTTGCTCATTTATATCAACCCAAATCGTTCCACATATTACTTACAAAAATAGAGGTCTTTTGCTATGAACGAAAACACAAATCAAAATCTAAAGTCAAACAATTAATCAACCGAGTTGCAACATGAAATGTAGTTTGCAACTTAAACCTTATGAAAGAAAACGTAATTATAATACCAGAATAAGTAATTACAACTCAAGGGATTTGTTTATAGCACAAGAAATTCTCTGCTTCATTCAAATGGGCTCATAGGCTTATAGCTCCAGTATTCAAACAAAATTTACTCCATGTGTTACTAAATGTACAGGCGCGGTGGGATAGCTTCTCGCAAAGCAGGTTTAGGGTTGACATAAAATAGCAAGGGAATGCAGGGTTGCCACATTTGGCGAGAAATCGCCCATTTGGCGACATAAGTCCTGCTTATCATTTAGTGTGTGCCTCGTCTAGCGAGCTGATATTCAGCCATTGAGCGAGTGTCTCGAAGTCTAGCGACGAGTTGATCGAAGAGTCTCTTAGTGTATCGCGGTTAGTGCATCGTCGAGAGAGTGTGTTAAGCTCCGGAAATGACTAAACCGAAGACTCGGGAGCTGTGCTCTGTGTGTCGTCGAGTGCATCGCGAGTTGTAGCGTGGAGAGTCTCAAGAGTACGGGGAGTTCCGAGAACGACCGAGCAGAGTCGGGAGCTGTACTCTGCTGCTTTGCAGTGAAGCTATCTCCACCGTTATGGCCTGATAGTTTGAAGGCTGTGTCGCTGATTGTGTCAGCGTTTTTATAGTAGATCTTCGACGACTGTAAAAAGCGACTTTGGAGCTGTCCTGATTAATATTGGCTAACTAAAGTGTGTTCCGATATTTCATCGTCAAATGTCGTCGTTATTCATTCCAAATCCATACGAACCCCGTATGAACGTGAAAGAAGAAAATAACGTAACAATTGGTGTCAGGAAAAAAAAACGCAACACATGCATTAAAACAATTACTCACCAGATTTTGAGTCGTTTAGTTTAATTTCCTGTCAGCAGTGACATTTAGGTTGAACCAAACTATGGAACTCAATGAACGTTAGTATTTACAAAGCGTCAATATTCTTTTGAGTTGTAGAACATTTAATATACATAACAAGCAGCCTCATCTCAGATTACGTAACATACTACTTTTACATGCTCTTATTACGTAACATAAGGTAGCAAATATAAGATTAAAATTGCAGCAAATTAATAAGAAGCAAATCAAAATATTTCAGAGGAAAAATTCATTTATTTGTGCTAGGTTAGCCTCGTTTTAGCTAATCTAGCACAAATGAATGCTAATATTCTTATACTATATTGTTGAATATAAGGTATGGATTTTGATAAACTGTGAAATTAGCAAGCTTATCGTTTTGAAAGATATGGGTAAATTTAGGTATAATTTAATTAGATTTTCAAAATTAGAGTAATGAATTGAAACTAAATTTAGATATATAATAGGGTTTGTAGATTTTTCGTTTAAGATCCATCCTGACGTGATAACCTACAGGGAAGTCTCGATAGGTTTTGCCGCAGTAAATCGGTATCACATTTACTTTCTCAAAATGCAGAAGGAAACTTTTCCTAGGAAGCTAGCCTGTTGACATTATGATTCCAGGTTCGAAACCTGAGAAAAGCAGGTTTACTAGTATATAGTATCGTTGCGGTGTGAGGGCACTTAGTAGCGGATGTAATTTTGTCACTCCCTGTGGTGCACTCTGGTCAGCGTTCTCAGTGATGAAATGGTTAAATAACCCACGGATTCGGCCATTTATGATGAATGCTTAAATAGAGAAGTTATCCGGTCGTTGGAGGGGAAAAGAAATTTTTTGTGTAAATTCAATTTCTTAAGAACTAGTTTAAACGTTGACTTCCAGCCGCAATAGTTGAAGATGACGGCGAAAGCGTCTCGTTCAACGCTGTAATTCGCGTATATCATCTAACCAGAACAAAAGAGCATCACGGAATTTATCTTAATTACATAAAATTCCTATGTATCTTAATTACATAAAATTCCTGGAAGCAAGCATTCCATAAAGTATTCCATTCGACGAGGTGTTTAGGAAAACTGTTATTTATTCTAATAACAGTTTAAACCTGTTATAGATTCTTTTGAATGATAATTGGATATAACATCGGTCGGTTTCTATTCGGCAGTTATTATTTATTTTTGTAACGCAATAAAAGTTACCTTGAACAAAATCTCATTTATGATTTCGTTATTGGTACACTAAATCTAAAATCTTGCATTTTGAAGATTTTGGTATAAATAACTCCTACTAAGTTACCTATATTTTATAATGGAAAGACTTGGTGCAAACCCACATGTTGTATTCTAGTATTTTGTATCTTTCATTATTTTTTCCTTAATGTAATGATTTAGCCCTAAAATACAGGCACATATTTGTTATCAAAATATATACTGCATCGTCATTTCCCATCCCACATTATCTCCTCTCTTTGCCCAGAAAAAAAATGTTTTAGGTTTTAAAAAAGAATTCAGAACGGAAATCAATTTTTATTGCAGGAAGAAACTAAAGTAAAAGAATTTCAAGTAACACTGAAATATAATTTTAAATCAAATCTATATCATAGATAAAGAAAACACAATCATGATGTGACTGGAAACATTTTCACATTGCTTCTAAGAAAAATATAGCACAGATTACAAGAGCATCTAGTCAAAACTAATCATACTTCTTTGCAACGATTAACCGTCTTAATTTAGAATGACTTTATTAGTCTTCATGAAGAAACCGATAACAAGTTTTTTTTGGGGGGGCTTATGCATATTCTAACAATGAAGGTGAATAAAATTCTTCCGGAAGGAAGGAAAAAATGGCTTCTGTGTTTAACCAAAAAAAAATTACACGCTCCTTTTTCTCACTTTATTTCTTGTTCCCCCATTCACGTATCCATAGAAGTGTGAAAAGGAGCGCCTAGGAAACGCCTAAAGTTTATTTAGAAAGGTTTTTAAATGAGATAAAAGCTATGTTTATTTTCTTCGGACGTAACCATTAAATCCAGCATGGACTGCCCCAAAGCATTTAATGAGCCAACATTTTTTGCGTTGTGTTAGACTGTCAGATATTTTACTTTCCCTTTTTTTATGTCTCTCGTGGGGCTTTATTGAGAATTTAATGACAAAGAGACGGTTGCATGGAGGAAAAAAAAATAAACAGAAATTTTTCGTTTTCACGGGATGTGAAGCAGTAGAATTGATTCCTCTTTTTTTTTTTTTTTTTTTTTTTTTTTTTTTTTTTTTTTTCTCAAAGAATGGTCTTACGACTCCAAATTTCGAAGGAGGCGCATTTATGTCAGCTTTAAGAAGGAAGAATGGGAGCCAAAATTAACTCATGAAACCGAAATACGAGCACTCTTAATTAGAAGCGAAGTTTACCATTCATATAATTTTCTACCTTCTGTTTTAATAAGCATAAGTCTTACTCAGCGTGAATTTTAAATGTGTTTGTGAACAACATAGCTCAATCTCTTAAAAGATTGCATTTTTTAGAAGGAATTCTAGCCCCATAACGCTTTTTTTAATTATCCTAAGCACTGTACTTTTATTTTTACAGCTGTAGCTTAATCATTTATTGTGTGACATTATGGTTTAAAGGCATAATTTTCAGGAGATTTTCAATTCTAAGAAATGTGAGCATTCTATGGGATATAAGGTCTTCAAAGTGGTTTTTGGATTAAAATAGAGCTTAATCCTGGAGTGCTTAAAACACTCCAGGATTTGAAAGCAGTACATACGTACT